AATGAATTCAGTCCTGTTCAGGAAGCCATACCAAAAAGACTGCTGGCCTTCAATCATTGAGCAAGAGCATTTTTCTATTAAATACTGGGCAGAAGAGTTAATGTAATCGGCCTAACTTATCTCCTCTGTACTTAGGGAATGGTAAATTGAAGATTTACTTATTTAGGGCTATAATTCCTTCGTCAGGACCAAGTTAATAAAAGACCAGGAAACTCCTGATTCAACTGGATATGGAGTATTTTGTAGACAGGGCTGCACATTTTGGCTTTGTTATATTTTTGCTTTCTTGGTTAACATCTCAGCTGAAACATTCCATATTCCCCAGCAGTGAGGGGAGTAACTCAAGTTTACAGTTCTGCCTAAAAATCACCCTGATTCTAGCTTTTTGGACTCCTCTGCCCCTCACTCCTCTGTATTACCCATCACACTACCCAGGAGATACACTAGCAAATTGTACAACTGAATAAAACCCACACTTTTCATTTAGATTCTTGCAACTGTATCATATGTAATAGTATCACTTTTTCTACATTTTGGTCAAATAAATTTTTACATAAACTATAATTTGTGTGAATTTTAGAACGTGTGGGGACCTATCAGGCATTTTGGTTCAATGAATGTTAAATGGGATGGATAGATAATTGTGCCATGAATTGAGCAAATTGTATTTATTAGCTTCATACCATGACTTCATGATATAAGGATTATGATCTCTTCATTACAGTGAGAGCGCTTTGCCGCGGTTACTCTAAAGCTCCTGTCCTTTGTTATTCCCAATCATGAGCTGGGCTGTGGAGAATGAGTAGGATATTAATAGATGAATAGGAGGAGGAAAGCTGGTCCCTGTTGCTTTAGTTAGGAAAGCACAGGCCTGCCTGGAAAGGTTTCCTGTACGTCGCATAAAGGAAAAATACAGGAAAGCTGGAAGGTAGGCTGGTCCACCTTGATGAGAGCCTGAACATAACTTGGTCAGAAGTGGAGAGCCATTGACATTAGAAAACTCCACTTAGCATTCATTTTCAGAAAGGATTAAAATGGGGATACACTAGAGGCAGGAAGACCAGTTAGAAAGATGTTTTAATTAATCCAGGGTAGTACTTGCCATGGAATTGGAAGGCAGAAGTGATCTGAAGGAAGTAATCTTAAGATTTAGCTGACTGCAGTTTAACTACCTGAATTGTTTTGGTATTTGCCTCAAGATCTCATCTTGGGGAAGGGAGCTAGGGAATCAGAGAGAGAAATGAAAGGCGTTAAAACACTGATGCAGCATGCAAACAATGTTTTGTTACCAAGTACAATTGAAAACATTTCCTGCTATTCAACATTTAGCTGACACTGAGCTCATTTAGATGGTAGAAGAGAATGTCAATAAAATAGTATCCCCTCTAAATGTCTACCATTACTAAACTGAAGTTCCTTCTCCCTCCTTCCCACCCCCCTGGGATCTAATCTAACCTCAGGATACTGTTTTAGTTCTGTGCCTGAACGCTTAACACAAGTGTTCAATGTTTATTAAACTGAACTGTCTCAGGTCTTGGGGAATCCAGTCCCATGAAGTGTGAGTGGAACACAAGGTGACGTTAGGACCGGTTGTGAGGACTTTATCTGCCCGTAGACCATGGATGCATACTGGGTGTCTTAGAATGAATGAGCACACTGCAGGATGGAGTCTGGATTAGAGAATGTCAGAGAGACCATTGGGAGAGGTGATGATCTGAGGGGCGATGGAAACAGAAGAGCAAGATTCAAGAGCTACTGAGAATGTCCCTGAGGACCAGAATGCGAGGGTTGAAGAAAAGTCTCACAGACAACTTAGGCTTCGGATAGAAGGCAATTCAGGACAAGCTACTGTGAGTAGGTGATGAGGTAGGTTGTGGCCATGCTGAATCTGAAGGATCTTTGACAAATCCAAAGACAGAGGCCGAGAAAGCCCTTGGACACAGAGTGATAGCTGGGCACTAGGTTCTCTAAGAAGTGAGAATCACCAGTGTGGAGCGATACTAGAAGGCACAGGGGGCGGGGGGACCACCTAGGAAGTGCAAACAGATAGGAAGGGAACCATGAGGCACATGGACACCTAGGGGACCAGTAGAGACCCCCCCCGCCCCAAGACTGACAAGCAGCACCCAGAGAAGGGGAGTTGTAGGTGGCAGGTGGTGAAACAGGCAAATGAAATGGGGAAAGTGCCAAGAAAAGGAATTGCCAGAGGAAGGTGGTCAAGAGCATCAACTACCACGGGGACTGAAACCTGCAAAGTGGTCTGTGACTCTGGCTGGCGCTTTTCCTGAACAAGACGAGCAGAATGGGCTGAGGTGCAGGGAGGCGAGCCCGAGGCCATGGCCGGGACCCCACTCGGATGCCCCTGAGTGACTCCACGCTGAGAGGCTGCACACGGGCTGTGGCCCACCTTTGAGACGCAGGAAACCCTAGTGATCAGGACTTGGGGTCGGCAGCCTTTGGGTCTGCATTCATCATCCAGCTTCCCACTCTGCGGCCCGGGCAAGTCACTTAGCCCCTCTGGCCCGTTTCCTCGCCATAAGATGTGGCGAATCGGCCAGCTGTTTGGCTCGGTGTCGCAGGTGTGCGCCCCGGCTTGGTGGGGGCTTTTGCCACCAATGGTGTGTGTCTCCCTCACGTGGCTCTTTCTCTCTCACCTCCCCCCTCCCTCCCGCTCTCTCTAAAAATCAATGGGAAAAATGTCCTCGGGTGAGGATTGAAAGACAAAACAAACAAAACATGGTCACACCGCAGTACCTACCTCAGCGGGCTGCAGTGGGGATGGGACGTCTTACGTGGTTTCCTTTAGTCACCGTTTCCACAAACACTGGCCGGCACAAACCAGCGTTCCCAAATACTGACTGTGCTTCTCGCTCTCCAGAGGGCTGACTGTGAGGGCAGGGAAGCTCCAGGGTGTTGGGTCTCATCAAAGAATCGGATCGATACCCCGCCCCCCCCACCCCCCCACCAACCGACCTTCAGGCCACGTCACAGGGGACACTCCACTTGCTGAGACCATTCTCTCCCCGCCTCCGGAGCTTCCCGAATCCGCACCTGCACAGGGACTTCTCCGCCCAGAGTCCTCTGAAAACCTCCGACTCCCCGTCTTCGGGTGCCTGTGCCGTTTGGGGCTCAGCGCATCTGGGTATCCAAGTGACCTAAGCCTATCCTATAAAATAAAAGGCTAATGCGCAAATTGCCCCCTCAACCGGGAGTTCGACCAGGGGGCAGGGCCCACCAGCCAACTGCCCGGACCCCACCCGTGCACCGGGCCTCTAGTAAATGTATAATTCTTCACTCCTTTCGGCCTCGCGCGTCCCTCCTTCGGTGACTCTAACACAGGGTAACACTGAGGGCAGAGGATGTCCTGGACAACCTCTAATTAGGTCCGAGGGCCATCCTGAATTGTGCCCGCGAGCTCAGCTGGTGAAGGCCTGGGTAGCTTTAAGTCGGTCCCCTGACCAGCGCCTAGATCCCGGAGTCTACCTGGGGGCGGGGGGGGGCGGGGTGGAAATAAGGGGGATTGGCTCGTTTCCACCGGCGCCTACTGAGCCTGCGCGGGCCGAGAAAGCGGGAGCCAGAGACCCCATGCGCGTGCGCCCTCTGCTGGCACCTAACGGTTTCCCTGGCGCGCGTGCGCAAGCTCCCCTCCCCGGGCTGCGGGGGCGCGGAGCCGTTGGCGCTGATCCCAGCACGCTCCCCGCCTTCCTCGGGGGCAAGGCGGGGCCTCCATAGAGTCCGGGAAAGAAAGCGGGGACACGAGAGACCACGCCCCTTGTCCTGGTCTTCTTTTGAAGCCCCTAGACTCCTCACCGCTGGCCAATCGCAACCCGCCCTGTCTCGAGCGCCGGCCAATGAGCGGCGTTCTTGGGCCGCTTCCGGCTCCGCACCCCGCTCGCCCCTT